TGCCACTAGCAGCGACTCCTGGCTCTTGGGAGCTTCTTGCCAGCAGTTTCTTGCTGTCTCTCCTGTGGCCAGGCCACCACCTCCTAGCTGTTCTGCTGGAATATATCTTGGAAAGCCAAATCTGTTGACTTCCAGCAGGTAGGGTCACAAGTGAAAGCTAAAGCCATTTGTTCTGTTTTAAAATATATGTCCCCAATTTCCAATCTCTTAGACTACCTAGAGAAAAATAAAACTCCCAAGCAAGGCAAAATGATAACTATCTTTCTCTTTGTTTCTGTTCCAAGGATCTGAAAGGAAAGATTTAAAATACTTCACTTTATCTATGATTTTATAATTGAAGAGAAGGTAGGTTAGCATACAATATGTGCACCTAACACCAAAAGTCACTGACAGCCCAGGATTGTGATCTAAGGTACCTTCGTGTAAGGTACAAAATGGTCAGTGCAAGCGGGTGTGTGGAGGTGGAGAACGTGTGCTACGGTGTGGATATGGTTTATCCCCACCAAAACTCATGTCAAGGCTTGGTCCCCAATGTGGCAGTACTGGGAGGTGATGCCTTTAAGAGGTGATTAGGTTGCTAAGATGGATTAGTGTCTTTCTCACAGTAATGGATTAGTTTAAGAGAGCAGGTGTTATAAAACAAGGTCACTTCTTGTGTTTTGCCCTTTTGCACAAATTCCCCTTTTGATTCTTTGCCATGTGATGATGCAGCATGAGAGCCCCACCAGAAGCCAACCAGATGCAGTTACCCAACCTTGAACTTCCAGCCTCTAGAACTGTGAGCTAGATAAACTTTAAATAACTTCTTTCCTTTAGAAATTACCGTTTCAGGTATTATGTTCTGGCACCCAAAATGGACTAAGGGTGTCACTGTATTTGTACATTTTCATATACAACAAAGAACAGATTTATGGTAATAGAAATCAGGAAACATGAGGGAACTTTAAGGAATGATGACAATGTTTTAGAGTTTGTTTTGAGTGGTGGTTACAAGGGTAGAAATTGTCAAAACCAAACTGAACAATTAAGACTAGTATACTTTACTATATGTAAACTGTATGTCAATAATAAATAAAAATAAATCCCCTGTGTAGGTCTATGTATTTATATATTCCAGGATGTGAATGTGCAGGTGTTATGTCCATGACTTTGGTATGGGGTCTGGGATGTCAAAAATCATGTGCAGTTGGACACACAGCAAATACATACTGCAGGACACCAGCCTGGCCCTCGCAGCCACCACTAATCCCTTTCTCATTTTTTCCTCATTTGCCCAGTATTTTCCCAGTGACCACAATCGTTATCCAAACCTTCTCAACCATCCTTGGGAGCAACTTCTCTCATTTCCTAGCTTTGCCTGGGCGTGAACTGTCTGCCCCCACCAACTGCTCCCTGGGTGCTCTTCTGTGCTTTCTCCCAGATGGATAAGCATCCTCTGACCTCATCCTCTCCTGCCTAATCCCCTCCTCTTCTTTCAGCATCTCAAAGCTCTCCCCCTCTATTAGCAACTTCCTTTCTGATTTCAAACATTCACAAATCTCAGCTTTCTTGGATCAAGTCACGAAACCATAAGAAAACCCCTAGATTAACTTGGCTATGCCCTCACAGAGGCTGGTGCTGGGTCCCAGGCTGGGGAAGTCTGCGGCTGGCCAGCTGTTAGCAAAGCAAGGAGAGGGAGCTGCATTAGAAATAGCCAGCCCTCCCAGAATTAGCTGGGGCAAAGGATGCTTAAGTGTAAGTGTAGACCGTTTGTGGGCCACGCAGGAGAGATGGCCATCTAGAAGCCATCTTAAAGGGACTTTGCCCGAGAGGGCCACCTAAAGGGATAATGGGCCAACTGCAGGTGGTGGCGGATTCCAGAAACCAGGGGCCAAGGGAGGAAATGAAAGCAGCAAGACAGAGATGTAAGCACCTGGGCAAGGGAACTGCAGGTAAGAAAAACCCACAAAAGCACTGCATGGGAGAGAGAGACAGCCATAAGCTCCCCATCAAGCTCAGAGGGTACTAAGGCCATATGACAAAGGGACCTTTCTTGCCCTATCTCTACTATCTTACAAGCTCCCTCCACCAGTACTGGGTGGGTGAGAAGCCACAATCTGCCTGGGGTGGGGAGGAGTGGGGTAGTGAGGAAGCAAGATAAAGAGAAGTCAGCCACTCTCCTCCCCAAATGTGGGAGCTCAAAGAAAGCTTGAAAGAGGAAAGTCACAAGCTTTAACTTTGAATTAAGTTCAGAGTTTTAATTATTAACATGAACTAGATTGCAATAAGTTTGTCCTGGTAACCACATGGAATCCAAGAGCAAGCAACGGTTTAAAGAAAGAGTAGGGGTGAAGACAAAGCTGTTTCATGATTGCATTCCGCTTCCTGACTGCTCTGCTTGTTCAATGTAGCAGTTACACCAGCAAAACACCAAGTAGTTGGTGCCTACAACACAGTTCAGTGCTAGATATGCAGCTGTTAAGACTATCATTAATAATCTTGGGATCTAGAGGGAGGCAGATAGGCGCTGAAAGTGAGGCTTTCCTAACAGTCAAGTTGTTTGGGATAGCCCTAGTACAGGACTTGGGAGGTAGTGAGTTCCTTCTCCAAGATGCTGACTCGGCAGGGATGTGGAGAGGATTGAGCCCCAGATGTGGGAATGAGCCTGAGAATCTGTGATTCCAGTTTATTGCTCATGGTCTCAACTCTCCCTTCTATAGGGATGACTGCAGCCCCGGCTTCTGCCCTGGATTTCAATCTCACATTTCCTCTTGAAGTAACTCCCCATCTGCCCCCTGACATTCCTGTATGGACAACTCACCATCACTCCCAGTGCAGCCCATCTACAATGGAGCTCATTCTTTTTTCTCCAGCCAGCTCTCCTTCCACACAACCCCTGACTTCCCTCTTTTTATACACATATACTTCTCTCAGCCTGATTTTCCACATCCCTTTCATTCATTTCTCAAACCCAGATGGACACAAACTCTTATCCACTCTTCCCTTGAGACCTGTCCCCTACTGCCCCTACCCTTTCCATTTTTGTGCCACCACCAAGATTCAGATCTTTATCATCTCATGAGATAGACTCCTGAGCAATCTCCCTGGCTCTCCAATTTCCCTTTGGAATCCTTAGCATCTGAGGTCAGTCTAATCTTCCTCAAACACAGCTCTGGTGGTGTCATAAAAGCTTTTGATAAACACTTGTTTCTCAGGGAACAAAATACAAACTTCACAACTAACATTCATAGGCCCTGCACAATCCAGTTTTTCCAACCTGCTTTTTCCAGCCTGATCTAAAACCATTCAACTCTCCCAAAATTCACTGAGGCCCACTCTGGGACTGGTCACATGTTAGATAATAAACAAACAGAGATGAAAGACATAATCCCTGACTCCAGAGTGCTCTCAGTTCTGGTGGCAAGATAACAGGGTAAATAATTACCAGAGAACACACTGATAAGATAAAGGACACTACTCGTCTTAATGTCTGCAGTGCAACAGAAATGATCTATTTACTATCCCCCAAATACAGGCCTACGTTTTCCTACCTCCAGGTTTTCTCTGGGCTCTTATCTCCTCTTTTCCCCTATCTAAACATTTCCCATTGTTAAAGGTGCAGTTCCTAGCACCCTTCTCTGAGAACTCCAATTCCAAGGCAAGGGATCTCTCCCCACTCTGGAGTTGAACGTTCCCAATGAGTAAACACCTCCTCTTCTTCCCACATCTCATCTTAGATGGATCATTTTCTGGAATGTCCTCTCTCACATGCCCCCTACTCTCACAATTCTGGGTTAAATGCACCCCCTCTGTGTTCCCACTGCACTGTATAAATTCTACTGTTGCCCATATGGTGCCGCTTGCATTTTACCTGTTTCTCTCACTAGATTGATTATGAGCTCCTTGAAGGCAAATACTGTGTGGATCTTATTCACAGTTGAATACCCAGCTCCAAGATTGGACTGGCCTATCTCAGTAACTCAATAAACACACGAAGGGAGGGAGGAAAGAGTAAAGCCATCATCATGAACTCCCTTGTACTGGCATGGTCTTTAGCATTTATGCTGTTATTTTCACTCCAGCTTCCCAACCACTGTCCCCAGGCAGACATATAGTCACTGGTCCTCCAACGGGATTTGCACATTCTTTTATCAAGGCAGCAACCTGCAGCTGCCTCTATCTGCCCGGCTTGACTCTGAACTTTGAGGGCAAGGACTGTGCCAGAGGCATCTCTGTATGCCCAGAAAATAGAGGAGGGGGGGGGAATGAAGCTTATAATTTATAAATTTAAATGATAAACTACTTGTGCGCAGGAAACCCTCATCTCCACTTTCTGTTTGAGTAAACTCTGAGCAAATCCACTTCACCATCAGCCAGTGTTTTCATTTGTAAAACAGAAACAGTAGGATTGTGTTCACAGCATCCTCCCTAGACCGGTTTCCTCTCTCGTAACACCGGGCTGTGCTCCTGTAAAGCCAGTAGAACAGTCCCTAGCGCTGCCAGGGCCAACATCAGTGGTGGTGTCTCTAAAGCTTTGTAAACTAACATTAAGGGTCTCTGGAACTTGGGGACGACGGCACTGGCGGCTGCACGGGAGTGAACTGATGAGACAGCCCCTTCCTCCCACCCCACCCTGGGACTCACAGCCTCCCTTGACCCTCTTTCCTTCCAGAGCTCGGAGGCCCCTCCCGCCTCCAGGGGTAGGAGGGGTGGGTATGGCTGAAGTCGAGGGTTGGGGACCGGGGCCCACTCCGCCAGACCCGCTGCGCGACCTTGGCCGGGCTCCCTGTCGGAGCCTCCGTCTGGGGCCCCACCTGGAAAATGGCTCCTCTAAGGCGTTTCCAGCCTAAAGCCCGTCCTCTTCCACCTCTCGGGTGCGGACTCTCCCTCCCACTCAGACTGCGGCTCCCCCACCGGCCCAGAGAGCAAGCGCGTTTGGACCGGGTTGCCAGGCGCGTCCCTTGTCCTTCCTCCCCGTCCCCAAGAAGTGGCCGTGATATCGCGAGATTTGGGGGCGCGGGCGGGGCCGGAAGCCCGGCACTCTCGCGAGGCGGAGGCAGAGGGGAGCCGGGAGCTCTGTGCACTGTGGAGGTCGTTGGAGTCACTTCTTTGCTGCCAGCTCCTTCACCTGCCGGTCCGCGCCCCGCCTGCCCCAGCCATGCTCTCCGCTCTCGCCCGGCCCGCCGGCGCTGCTCTCCGCCGCAGCTTCAGCACCTCGGCCCAGGTAGGCCCGACGAGGGGCGGCCTGCAGGCGGAGGCCCCGGCCCGGGCCACGTGCGCCCCTGGCTCGCGAGCAGCTCTGACCCCCGGGCCAGCCTGGATTGCAGGGCCGCGCGGCACTGGCCGGAGAGGCTGTGGCGCCCTGGGCCGGCCCTGGCACTGGGCAGGAAGTGTGGGGGAGAAAGCCGGAGAGAGGGGCGAGGTGGCCTACCTCCAGGGCTGGTGCACTTCACAGAGCTCCCCGAGCTCGCCCCCCAGGTTCCCCAAGACAGCCTGGTCTTGGCCTGCACGCCTGAAAGATTGAGAAGCCACGGCTCTGGGTCTGGAAGAAACTTACCTTTTTATGTAGCTTTCTTTTGCTTTGCCGTAATTAATCTCCTTGCAGCATCCGTGTGAGTTGTCCGTGAATAAGAGAAATAATGTGTAATTTTTAACTCCATGGACAAACTGAGGCACTGAGTATACAGTACTGGACCAGGGTTACTCAGCATTTGGCCAGAGGATTAAAATTCAGCACTCCTGACTGCGGTCAGTGGCTTTAGCATCAAGCCTCTCCTCTAAGAACCTGAAGACTGCTTCCTCTTCAGAACCTTCTTGAAGGATCCTTTCTGCTGTGGGTGGACCGAGCCTGCAGCCAGGTGTCTTGACAGTGCATGACTTGGCCTGAGACCACTTAAGCCTAAGCTATTTTTAGCCATCTTGTAGGATAGTAGTTCTCACACTCTGTATGTATCAGAATCACCTGAAAGCTAATAAAGACCAGAGGCCCGGGCTTGTTGAGGGAGCATAGGGTCTCCACCTTGGTATTTTCACCAGGTGTCCAGAGTGCATCTAATACAACCAAAGTTTGAGAACCCAGTAGGTGCCCACATTACTTTTTAAGTCTCATGCCCAAAAGGGAGGTAATTATTAAAGGCGATTCCAAATTTATCGTTTAGGTTAAATCTTCCCATTTCGTGTACATCCAGTTCATTTGAAAAATAAATACAAATGCTCCTGGACAGATGACATGATTAAGACTTAGGTTTTGGGGGAGGATGGTTTGGAGGTGGAGCTAAGTACCTAAGGTAGATAACGGAATGTGTGGGGAAAATGTTTGAGATGGCAAATTCTTCATGATCTGATTGAGTGTCTCAGTTAAGGGGGAAGGAAGAGGCAGAAGATGTTTCTACAAGTTTACATTTGGCAGAACACATGTGCCACTTGGGACTAGGGATAGGCTGGTAGAGAGGATAAATGGACAGTTGGGTTTGTAAGACCAGTGGAATGTTTGAACTGGGAATACAGAGTTGGACTTTGGGAGTCCCAAAGACTAGAGACAAGATGTGGGAGTGATAGGCAAAAGATCTGGAAATGGATGTGATTGCCCAACCTCAGGTTCTGGGTTTATCTGGCTAGTTAAGTTTTCTAGAAAGTCAAGAGACCCCTAATTAAAGCACCAGTAAAAATAAATAAAAAATCAAAAGCCTGTTTGAATTCAAATCTTGGTTGTAGTATATGCTTTTAGGGTTTAATTTCCTAAGCAGAAACCCACTGTGTTTGGGGTTTATTTAGTTTTGATTTTTTTATGGTCAAAGCTTATCATCAACTAGCATGAATTACTGTAGAATATGATGTGCCGTGATGATGTCACGACCTATTGTAGATGCCTGCCTTAGAGGATCACACAGGGCACTTTGAGTTCTTGTGTCTATTTTCCTGGTTTGTCTACATCCTCCCTGGCAGCTGCCTTGGCTGCCTGCCAGGAATAGGCTCTCCTTCTCATTTGTGAGTTTAGATTAGAAACTAGCTTACTGAGGTTGGCTAGAATTTTGATTGGGCCTTGAATGAGACCTAGAGGGGAGGTGCTTTTGAATCATGGGAGTGAGCTTTAGGGTAGAATTTAAGATTATTTTCTCAAAGACTTTTTTTCCCTTTTTTTAAGCCCAAATTCAGGAGTCAAATTGCCTGCGTTCAGCTTGTGCCCCAGCTTCATCACTTTCTATCCATGTGAGCCTGAATGTATTGCAACTTCTCTATGCTTCAGTAAAATGGCTCTGTTCATATTACATGATAGAGTTGTGAGGACTAAATGAGTGAAGACTTAGTTCAGTGCCTCGCACAGAGCAGACCTGATAAGTGGTCAGCTGTGACCATTTTTCTGCCAGTGTTCCTAGTAAATGAGGTTGCCGACTCACTTGGCTTTCTTGCGAGGTATTACTATATAATAAATTCTGCCTCTCCTAGGAAAGGTCACCAAGACACAGTCATTAAATTAGTTCTTAAAAATTGCTCGGGTGGGAGTGGCTTAAAGCAGCAGTTTTTCCAGGCTCTTCTTTCTCCTCCTACCCCTTAAATGCTGGTGTTCATAGGATTCTGCCCTTTGGTTCTCTTCTCACTCTGTGTTTCCTTTTGTGCCCTGTTCATGTCCAAGGCTTCAGTTAGTCCCAGTGCAGACACTAATGACCTCTAGACCAGGCCCTTTGCCTGAGATCTGGAGCGCTTTATCTAGGAACCCACTGGATACAGGTGTGTGTGTGTGGATGTTTCAAGTGACTCAAACTCAGCATGCAAAACTGAATTTGTCATTCTTCCAAACCCCTGACCCTTCCTCAGTCCCCTCTGTTAAAGGCAACGTTATCTACTCAAGCCAGGAAGTGAAGTCGTCCCTTAGCTCACCGTTTGAATGGATGAAGAAGGGAAAGGGGGTTGCCTGAATCTGTTGATGCTGTTTCACAGATCACTCATAACCCATCCACCTTTCTGCTGCTGCCTTTTTCCCACCCTGGAGTCATGCTTGGACTATTGCAGTAGTCTCCCTGCCTCCATCTTGTATCTGTCCAATCCATCCTCAGCTCTGCCTCATATCTTTCTAAAACAGATCTGGTCATGTTCTTCCCAGCTTTTGAGGGCCTCTGTGGTTCCCCATTGCCAACAAGGACCAGACCTACTGTGTTAGGCCCTCAGCTCTGGCTTCCTTCCTCCACATGTGTCCATTTGTGCTCAAGACATAGAGGACTGTTGTAACTGCTTGTCCTCCATAGGCCTTACTCTATCACATCTCCTCCTGCTCCCAGCATTCCACCTGGTAAACTCCTACTCATCCTTCAAAACCGTCTCTAACAGTTTCTTCTCTCCTTTGTGCTGCTGTTCTTTCTAGTATCTGCCTCTGTAGCACTCATCACACTAGATGCTGTTTTGTGTGGTGTGCATGTCTTTCAGTTTGCAGGTCTTGTCAGTGCTAGCAAGTCAGTCTGGCATGCAGCAGGTAAGAATTCAGTGCCTGTCGAATTGTAGGTGAGCTTTAAAGGATGAATAGGCAGCCATTTTGGAAAATAGTCTGACAGTTCCTCAAAAGGTTAAACACGGAATTACCATTACTCTTCAATTTCACTCCTAGGTATATACCCAAGAAAATTAAAAACATACCCATACAAAAACTTATATGTGAATATTCATAGCATTTTTCATAATTGCCCCAAATGGAAACAACTCAAATGTTCATCAGTGGATAAATGGATAAAACAATGTGATATACAGTTGACCCTTGAACAACATGAGGGTTAGAGGCACCAACCCCCACATAGCTGATATTTTTGACTCCCCCAAAACTGATAGTCTACTCTTTTTTTGAGACAGAGTCTCGCTTTGTTGCCTAGGCTAGAGTGAATGCCATGGCGTCAGCCTAGCTCACAGCAACCTCAAACTCCTGGGCTCAAGCAATCCTGCCTCAGCCTCCTGAGTAGCTGGGACTACAGGCATGCGCCACCATGCCCGGCTCATTTTTTCTATCTATATTAGTTGGCCAATTAATTTCTTTCTATTTATAGTAGAGACAGGGTCTTGCTCTTGCTCAGGCTGGTTTCGAACTCCTGACCTTGAGCAATCCACATGCCTCGGTCTCCCAGAGTGCTAGGATTAACAGATGTGAGCCACTAATAGTCTACTCTTGACTGGAAATTTTACCGATAACATAAACAGTCGATTAACACATTTTGTATGTTACATGTATTATTAAAATATATACTGTATTCTTAATATAAAGTAAACTAAAAAAATGCTAAAATCATAAGAGAGTACATCTATTATTCATTAAGTGGAAGTGGATGATCATAAAGGTCTTCATTGTGGTCCTCACATTGAGGAAGAGGAGGAGTTGGTCTTGTTGCCTCTGGGCTGGCAGAGACAAAGTCTATACAAGTGGACCTGTGCAGTTCAAGCCTGTATTTCCAAGGGTCATCTGTATTTTATGTTACTCATCCATGAAAATGAATGAAGTGTTAATACTTGAAGCTACAACATGGATGAACCTGGAAAACATGCTGGGTGAAAGAAGCCAGACACAGAAGGCCACATACTGTATCCTTCCATTTACATGAAATGTCCAGAATAGGGAAATCCATAGACAAAAAGTAGATCCGTGGTTGCCAGGGGCATAGGGATATGGGGAGTGGCAGCTAATAGGTGTAGGGTTTCTTTTTGGGGTGATGGTTGCACAACTCTGAATATACTAAAAGTTATTGAATTGTATGTTTTAAATGGGTGAGCTGTATGGTATGTTAAATACATCTCAAAAAAGCTATTTAAAAAAAAAAGAATAGGGTCAAGTGATAGCCAGTTGTTAGATATACTTAGCTCTGAAGTGCTCATTGAAAGTCAAGTCTCTTCACTTTAGTTACAGTAAGTTGACTAATAACATTGATATAAATTTTTCTAGCTCAGCCTTTTAGCTATGAACAAGGCAGCCTAGTCTCTCTGGACCCACCTCCACCTGCCACCCTCCAAGGGATTCATCCTTATCTCTTTTCTGTTCCAAGCTGAAATGCTCAGGGCTAACTGCTACTTGTTCTGATTAGGTTGGGTTGTAGCAGTGATTCTGAAACTCTGGTTGGTATCATCATCACCTGGGGAACCTAGTAAAAGTACAAGGGCCTAAGCCCAGACTTCAAGAAGTCTGGCCCTCTTTGGTCTTCATTAGCACAGCAGAGGATTCTGACACACGCCAAAGTTGGAGAACAGGGGTGAGATCCTGGAGTCTGCAACAAAGGAGCCTTTTCAAAAATAAATTCCCTTGTCAGGGCGGGTGGCTCACGCCTTATAATCCTAGCACTCCGGGAGGCTGGGGTGGGGCAGATTGCTCGAGGTCAGGAGTTCGAAACCAGCCTGAGCAAGAGCGAGACCTCGTCTCCAGTATAAATAGAAAGAAATTAATTGGCCAACTAATATATAGAGAAAAAATTAGCTGGGCATGGTGACACATGCCTGTAGTCCCAGCTACTCGGGAGGCTGAGGCAGTAGGATTGCTTGAGCCCAGAAGATTGAGGTTGCTGTGAGCTAGGCTGACGCCACTGCACTCACTCTAGCCTGGGCAACAAAGCGAGACTCTTGTCTCAAAATAAATAAATTCCCTTCCACCTCTTGCTCCTGGTACTGTCTCAGGCTCCAGCCAAGAGCTTGCTGCCTAGATGGGATCTTCCCTGGTTCCCTGTCCCACCAAACAGTGGAACGTGCCCCCTCTGCTCTTTCACACAGTGCTTCTGTGACAGCTTTTTTCCCCTCTATGCCTACTGCATCTGGTTATTTGTCCTCTCCAGAGCCAGCAGGGGTCTTCATTCCTGCAACCCCAGTTACAGTGAGGGCCTGTTGCTAGGCACTCAGTAAATGTTTGTAGTTTTTAAAGCTGCAGGTTAAAGATAAAGCTACTGTTATCAGTCTAGCTGCTTGATTAAGTAAAGCTTGTTCTTGATCTTTCAGAAGGGTTTTTGGAGAATGACCCTGAATATCGCAACCTCTGTAGACATAAGTTCTCCCCATTTGAAACTGGACCTTTGGAATGAAGGTCCAGAATTCTACCAGAAGGAAACTGGTAAACGTACAGACATTGTGTCTTGCTTTGGCACCACTGCAATAAAAGAGGCCCTGTGCAGTATTTTTGCAGGATACCACGTGGATCCTTTTAAAGCAGACTTCATCCTAAGAGTTCTTTTCTCTCTGCCTCTTTTTAGAAAAATGCTAAAGTAGCTGTACTAGGGGCTTCCGGAGGAATTGGGCAGCCCCTTTCGCTTCTCCTGAAGAACAGCCCCTTAGTGAGCCGCCTGACCCTCTACGACATCGCTCATACACCCGGAGTGGCCGCAGACCTGAGCCACATCGAGACCAGAGCAACTGTGAAAGGTACTGGGCCCACTGACCCTGGAGACTTTACATCTCTCCTCCCCAGTAGACCAGGATCCAAGTTTTGAGTAAGATTCTTAGATGAAACTAGATGCTTAGAGACTTTAGGTTTCCATGTTAGTTTTAGAATTAAATTCTATGAATGATTACACCCTTTGGGACTTGAGTCTGTAAAAACTTAAACAACCGTATCTTTTAGAAATACAAAGTAACCTAATCTTTCCATTTGTAACTATTCTAACTTGAAAAGTAGTATGAGGTTGGGGAGGGTGGGTGTGTATGAGAGCCTCTGATGGGGATTTGGGGGCAATAAGATGTGTTTTTCCTGGTGTGCTACTGCTGGCTGCCTTTCTGCCAACCCAGGGTTACCCCAACCAGCTTCTCCAAAGCATGGCCTCATGGGAAATCCATAGAAGGCAGTATCTAGGCTATTTGATAAATATGTACGTTGTAATAAATATCTTTATATTTACATCTTTTTCTTAGAATACTAAAAATAGGACTATTAGGTATATTTTGAAGCTTTTATTATAAAGTACCAAATTGCTGTCCAGAAGTGTTGTACTGATTTCTTTACCTACTGACAGTGTATGAGAATACCGTGTTTGATAGTGTTTTACGTGATAGTATTTTACATGAATCTTCAACTGGCATAAACAGTCCAGGAGGCTGACTATCAAGTGATGTCTGTGTGCCTCCCATAGTTCCTCTGAACTGGTTTGCTCATTTTCTTTTGGGCTATATATTTGAATTTCTGAAGGCTCCCGCAATAAGGAAAAAAGTCAAAATCAAAGCAGATTTTGGGCCAGATATGGTGTCTCATACCTGTAATCCAATCCTTCAGGAGGCTGAGTCAGCAGGATCACTTGAGCCCAGGAATTTGAGGCTGCAGTGAGCTATGAATGTGCCACTGTACTCCAGCCTGGGTGACAGAGCAAGACCCTGAAATCTTTGAAAACATTTTTTTTTCTTCCTGAGATGATAGGAGGGAACAAAATAGATACTAATGTTGAAAGTCCTTGTTTATCAGCATAGGGCATTTTCTTTCGTAGCCTTCAACAGGCCTTCTAATCTGACACTGGATCTAAGGGGTTTTGTTAGGATGATAGTGAAGTGGACCGAGCAACTCTGCTAATTCTAGCTGGAGGCTGACAGTGTCTTACAGTGCTAGTAACAAGCAAGGGTTTGGGTCGTGGAAACCTGGAGTGCTAAGCCATTCTACAAGTGGCCTAGGCAAGGAGAGGCCGGAGGAAAGCAGTGTCTCGCCGCCTGGGATTCGTCAGCTCATAGGGCAGTAGTTGTCAATGGCAGGAAATCACTTTACAGGTGGGACCATCTGCGCTTTCCTGAGGGGTTTGGTTGGCCTTGAGCCCAGGTAGGGCCCGTCCTTCCCAGGCTTTGTCCCTCAGAGGTGGTAGCCTCTCCGAATCAGAAAGGGTGAGATTTCTCTTTGGTATGCTTTTTCTAGGCTACCTCGGACCCGAGCAGCTGCCAGACTGCCTGAAAGGGTGTGACGTGGTGGTTATTCCGGCCGGAGTCCCCAGGAAGCCAGGTGTGTGTGAAAGCCTTGCCCAGCATCTCCCTGAGTAAGAAGGTAGCTTTCTGCGTAAAATGGATTTAATCCGATCTCTCTGTTGCAAAAAAAGTTCCACAGGCTCCCTGTTGCTTATGGGGTAAAGATCACTTCTATTGTCCTGGCGTTAAAGCCCTCCATGTCTGCCGGGTGTCTTGCCATTCCCCGAGCGTTCATCCTTGTGCCTCTGCATGTGGAATGCCCTTCCCTCCGCCCGGCTCCTCCTTGGGCATTCTGATTAATCCTTGCAATCCTTCCCAGATACCACCCTCCCTGCCCCACCCCCACACCCCACAGACCTCTGTTCTGGCACTTGTCACACTGGACTGTTTTCCCTACAAGAGATTTCCTTGAAACAGGGACTCTGTCTTGCTCGTGGTTAAATTTCTCATAACAAGCAGCTAACACACACAGCACTTGGCACCTATTTAGAATTCATTGTGTTCTCTGTGAACATCTTGCATTGGATCATTTCCAGGCATGACCCGGGATGACCTGTTTAACACCAATGCCACAATTGTGGCCACCCTGACTGCAGCCTGTGCCCAGCATTGCCCTGAAGCGATGATCTGCATCATCGCCAATCCGGTAAGTGTCACTGGGCTCAGCTCGCGTGGCTGTGGCAGGCGGTAGGTGCTGACGCGGTGGAAAAGCTCACAGCAGAAGTCTGCAGCTGTGCTGGTAGTGAGAAAAGGCAGAGTAATGTGCTGAGGTGGAGAAGTCGGGTGCACTAGTAAGATATCCTTACATTTATTTCTAAGGATTCCTTCTGAACTAAATGAAAGTTTTAGCCTGGCTCTGCCACCAACTAACTGTGTCTTTGGGCAAATCACTTCTCTCTGTATCTTGGTTCCCTTCCCTGAAGATAAGTCCTTTCTTGAGGCGTCTTTCAGCTGTGATTATGGTAACCCATTGGCTCCTTTTTGTTATATAGTAGTCTCTATGTATCCTCGGGGGATACGTCCCAAGACCCCAGTGGATGCCTGAAACCGTGGGTAGTACCAAGGCCAATGTATACTGTTTTTTTCCTATATATACCTACCTGTGATAGGGTTTAATTTATAAATCAGGCATAGTAAGAGATTAACAACAATAACTAACAATAGAACAATTATAACAATATACTATAATAAAAGTAGCTTTTTTCTTTCCTTAAAATGAGAATTTTCACCTTTTCACTTAAAGTAAGTACAGCTTCTCTTTGTCATATCCAAATTGTCAGTATCACTGCTCTTGTACTTTGGGGCCATTATGAAGTAAAATAAGGATAACTTGAATGTAGGCACTGCCGTAGTTCAACAGTCAATCTGATAACCGAGACTGCTACCTAGAGACAGGCAGGCGATGACGTACAGCGTAGGCATGCTGGACAAAGGGATGAGTCACATCCTGGGCGAAATGGAGAGAGATTTCATGCTGCTATGCAGAATGGCATGCAATTTAAAACTTATGAATATTCATTTCTAGAATTTTCCATTTAATATTTTCAGACCAAGGTTGAGCGCAGGTAACTAAAATTGCAAAACTAAAACTGAAACCATGGATAAAGCGGGGGACTATCTGTTTTCTGCTTGGGTGTTGCACTTCCCAGTTCCTTGTTGTCCCCATCTCCTCACACTGAGCACACAGTCTCAGTCAGACACACAGCCACCCGGGGCCCTGCTCGCTGGTCTTTGCAGGTAGCTTATTCTTCCGCTCAGAAACTTCAGTGAGGACAGCTGTGGTTCCCCGGCCTGACCTTGCAGGGCCTTGTGTTGCATTTAACGTCAGCTCCTGCTTTCTTCCCTCTTGGTTGAGTCTGGGTCCAAGTGTCTGAATGCAAGGTGGATCTGGGTGAAGGTGCAGTGACAGTGATGTCACTGAGGGACGTGGCTGCTGATAGCGCCCACAGCTTGTGCTCACAGCCTCTGAGAAGAGGATCCTGTCTTCCCTGTGAGCAGTTGGTTAAAAGTAAATAGTAGCGGTTTCTTTTGTTGGGGAGCTAACTAGTGCCTAATCCAGACTTTTCTGTCTTGTTTTTATTATAATCTTCCTGTGTACCAGGTGATGTGTTAAGCACTTACCCTACGTTAAGTCATTTATCTTCACTAAAACTTCATGAGTTAGTTGTTGTTTCCCCCATTTACAGATAAAGAAACCAAGTCCAGGAAGTGTAGGTCATTTGCCTAGGGTTATAACATAAAGGGACAGAACCTACTTCATCTGCGCTTTTAGCCGCAGTTTAGTGCTCTTGTGTCAGGGATGGCCGTTCAGGTGTAAGCCCCAGCCAAGCAGGTGCCCAGTGGAGCCATCATCTCCTATTCAAATTGATAGCTGATAGGGAATAAGCGTCCCCCCAGCAAAGGGTTTCTTTGTTTACACAGCGTGACCTGTCCTGTCTGGCAGATGGCTTGCCTGTACACAAAGTTATCAAATGGGTCAGTTTAATTTGGCACCTTTGGACTTGTTCATGGTCTCTTGAAAATATTTTTTCCTTTTGTTGCTTGGCCCTGCTCTCAGAATGCAGGGCAAATGCAATATGCCTGTCTCTTGGATTTACTAGGTTAACTCCACCATCCCAATCACAGCAGAAGTTTTCAAGAAACATGGAGTATACAACCCCAATAAGATCTTCGGTGTGACAACCCTGGACATCGTCAGAGCCAACACCTTTGTTGCCGAACTGAAGGTAAGGGCTGGATCAGGTGTGGCTTGAGTCCGTCCCTTGCTGAACTCTTCTGGACCCCCACGCTTGCTCATTTGCAAGCATAGAAGACACCACGGCACTTACAGGTCACATGTGACTTGGGAGTTTTAAATGTTTTTATGGCTGGCCCCTCAGTGGAAGCAGCCCATGTGTTTCCTTACGGACTTCATGCAGCAGGTCCCTGCAGGTTTAAACTCTGGCCAGCTGCTGTCTCCACTCAGCTCATTCTATGTTTTACTTCTCCCTAGGAGTGTCCAGCGTTCAGAGGTTTCCTGGGTTTCTTGGCCGCTGGACTCGGATCGTGCCCCTCCAGTCCTCCCCCTTCTCCTCCCCCCTGAAAACTTGTCGTAGCAGGATTTGCCTGCTATTGTTTAGATATGGGGTGATAAAATTAGCAAATATGAAGAACTTAGGAAAGTTCCAGAAGTGCTGAGATAGCAGAATTGTCAGCCCTGGTGTCTGATTCTGACTCCCTCTCTGGGTTGCCTGCAGTAGCTTGCCTCAGGGAGTCCTGGGCTGGACAGAAGCCTGGCCCTGCTTGGGCTGCCAGACTTGTCTCGAGGCAGGCTTGGTTCAGCACCAGCACCAAGCCTAGAGTCCTTGGTGCCTTTAACAACCTGCTTTCTAATTGTTTTGGTTGTGGATCCAGCAGAACCACTTCCTCTGGCCCCAAAGTGACCTTCTGGAGCTTCAGGCCATTTTGTCTGACTTTGCAGATTTGAGGAGGCTTCTCAGAAGCAGGGCCTGACTTGTGCACACAGCTTGGTGAGCAGCGCACGTGCAGGGCTGTCTGCCTGTGATTAACTCCCCTGCACACCAGACGGCCGCTGCTGGAGTGTCGGAGGTGCCCTGCTGTAATTCTTAGGGCAGCACATCACCAGGGCCTGGTGCTCAGGCTCCGTTCTAGGCAAGGGGGTCACAGAGGTCTGTAAGTGGCCCCAGGCCTTGGGGGCTCTGTGGAGGGGAGAGAGACGCTTTGATTCAAGAGATGATTTAATTGAGTGACCCAGTCAGCACAGGTGTGTGGGGTGTGGTAGAACCTGTAGAGAAGGAACAAGAGCATGTGGTTGTCTCTAAGTCTGAAAGTGGACAAGCCAGGCCGGCAGTGCTCCCTCCAGCCTGCGGGGGTGCGTTTCCCAGGCCCTAGTCCTGCCCTGCGCTGCAGTAGTGACTGTTGATGTTAACTGAAGTTAAATAACATTAAAATTGTATGTCCTCTGTTGCATGAGCCACATGTGGCTCCCATATTCTTGCAGAAAGTTCTATTAGGTGGTGCTGTCTTGGCCTAGATTCTAGGCCCTCACAGCTTCGCTGTTTGAAGTAGAGGGACATGGGATTTTGGTACTTGCAGAAAAGCCAGAGCTTGACAGGCTTCCATTAATGACCTGCCATTACCTTGAGCTGCCTGACATTCTAGAAAATTCCCAGTTGTCTCAAAAATAAATATCAGTCCTTAACACGTTAACTGCCATGTGAGTTGTATTTACCTCATGCTAGTTTTGAGCACTGTGAAGCATATGTAACTCACACATCTCTTTACTTTGAGAAGCGCATGAACTATTTTTCAAGGTGCATGTAACTCATGCACAGAAAATTATAAGTAATAACAAACTTTTCATTAAATCATAAAGGATTGTTTTGTCTTAAACGTGTTTATTCTATTTTTGTAATAAAACACCATGGCCTCAAGGAAAAAAATTTTTTTTTCTAATGTAGCAGTCAATGTGTTAAACTTAGTGTCTGGTTCCTCCCAAAGGTCTCAAGCCCTTTTGTGACACCCATGACCGTCCTTTCCTTTCTGATCTTCCTTCCCTTTCTAAGTGGCTTGCAGCAATATCCTGTCATTTGAGTGTTATGCTCTGCTTTCACACCCCTGGTGGCTTTGCTCTTCTGTTCCCTTTGCCTAGAATACTCTTCCCTGGGCTGCCTCCTCCTGCCCCCCAGGAGGCCCTCTCCCGGCCTGATTCCATGCTCCCCTGACTGAGCACAGGGCGTTGGGACATTAGTTCGCATCAGTCTTTCACATCAGACCACAAGCTTCTGGAAAGCAGGGGTGCGTCCCTGGTGACCACACAGCGCCTGGCACGTGTGCACTCACAGGCTTTGACCTCTCAGTTCTGCGACTCCTGCAGTGTGAAGCTGATCCTGCCTGCTCTGCCCACTCCTGAGGGTGACCCTCCCTTTCCTGGGCAAGGCTTGCTCCCTCATCCAGGGCTGGTCTTTTCAGCCATGGTGTTTGGGGCAGGTGACATCACTTTGGGAGCTGCTCACATCCCTATCATAACTCACTGGATTTTCGTTTTGGTTTTGGTGGGGTTTTTTCCTGTTTTAAGAAATCCTAGTTCACAGAGTCTTCAGTTTAACAAATAAGTCAGCCTCTCCTAGCGAATGCCACTCACTGGAACATGGTGTTTGTCCCGTTAAAGCCCAGTTCTATTTTTCTGTCCCAATCACTGTTTGAGGTGCCAGACTTCTCACTCCTCGGTTTCCTGGAATAGGTTTGAATTTTGCTCTGCAATGAGGGAAAGGGAATTTGACTTGTTCTCTGGGACAGTGTGGGGACATGAGTCTGGGCTGGTGCATGGGGAATGGCACTAGCTGAGAGAAATAGGACTGCCGTCCCTGATCTGAGAGGGTATCTGGCTGATGGGGGACTCTGCAGCAGGCAGTTCCGGCTCACTGTAGAGGACGCAGCTGTGGTGGCCTCCCCAGACAAGCCCGTCCTCACCGCACCTGCTGGGACCGTGGCAGGAGAGCTGAGCACGGCGGGAGCAAGACAGTGTCTCTTCCCTGATTTCTTTGTTCCATTCTGAGTTCTATGGATTTTCCTGATATTGGTGCTTTAAGGGTAGCTATGACATGTTTTACACTCAGAGAGCTGGCTCATAATCAAGCTTTTACACTTTGGTGGCCAGGGTTTGGATCCAGCTCGAGTCAGCGTCCCTGTCATCGGTGGCCATGCTGGGAAGACCATCATCCCCCTGATCTCTCAGGTACGTGTGTGTGACTTTGCAAGAAGCTTCCAGAACCTGAGCCCCTCTCCCAGGGCCTGCTTCAAGGAAGTACAGACTGACCCAAGAAGACTTGGCTGTTCACTGTGTGTTGAAAGGATTCCTGCTGTGGCCAGAGGTGCTCACAGCAGCCAGCTCTAGCACACAGTGAGAATCCTGTTGGAGACATCCCTGATTCCCGGTTAGGTTACAGCAGGTGAACTGCTTTGTTTAAAATGAGTCAGGACAAGCCAAACACAAGAATAAGATAGATCAACTTGACATCATAACCCTTGACTATAATGCACTATGAAGGACACAGAGTATTTGTGGTATTCTTGTCAAAAGCATAACTTTAGGCTGGGCGCGGTGGCTCACGCCTGTAATCCCAGCACTCTGGGAGGCCGAGGCAGCCGGATTGCTCAAGGTCAGGAGTTCGAAACCACCCTGAGCAAGAGCAAGACCCCGTCTCTACTATAAATAGAAAGAAATTAATTGGCCAACTAATATATATAGAAAAAATTAGCCGGGCATAGTGGCGCATGCCTGTAGTCCCAGCTGCTTGGGAGGCTGAGGCAGCAGGATCGCTTGAGCCCAGGAGTTTGAGGTTGCTGTGAGCTAGGCTGACGCCACAGCACTCACTCTAACCTGGGCAACAGAGTAATAAGACTCTGTCTCAAAAAAAAAAAAAAAGCATAATTTTATAAGAAAATCATGAAGAAGCATCTCACACGTCCAAATTGGTGGGCATTCTACAAAAGGAATGATCAGTACTCGTGACAAGTGTCAGGAATGACAGGAACCAACAGGAGATATATTGAATGCAGGGTAAGGTCCTAGCTGGGCACCTGGAACAGAAAAGGGACAGTGGTGGGGAAATTAGTAAAATTTGAGTAAGATCTGTAGTCTAGTTAATAATATCTATATTAATTTCCTGTTCTTCATGCTCAGGCTGTGGTTGCATTAGCATTAGGCTAAACCAAGTGACAAAAATCTTTATACTGATTTTATAACTTTTCTCCAAACCTAAAATTAGTCCAAAATATGAAAAGTTCTTTTGAAATGAGTAGGGGGCTCATCACTAAGCCTCCCAACAAAGTTGATTTGTCTTTGTCATTTTTCTATAAAGAAAGTCTTGTTTTCCCGTGCGGTGGTGATGAGAGGGACCCCCCCACTCTGTGAGGACAGAGCCAGGTGGGTGGGGAGTGGTGGCCAGGAGGCTTTGGGGACCAGGATGAGCCAGCAGCTGCTCAGTGACCCATGGCTTGCCTTGCAGTGTACCCCCAAGGTGGACTTCCCCCAGGACCAGCTGACAACGCTCACGGGGCGTATCCAGGAGGCCGGCACGGAGGTGGTGAAGGCCAAAGCTGGAGCAGGTAGAGGCTGCGAGGTCGTCCCCTGGGCAAGGGCCTGGGCAAAAGGGGATAGTTTTCTGTGTTTCATTCGCGTTTATTGGTAAGAAAGCTCTACATGAGAGGGCAGCTCAGCTTGCTTTGGGGGGTCAACAGGCATTTTTGAGGTTGGCAAAGCTAATTCCATGTCATTTGTGAGTAAGTAAAATTAAGGGATGCTGGCCAGGGTTCTCTACTTGTTAAGCTGGAAAACTTGCAGATACCTTAGCTGGCGGGGCAGGCTCACCTGTACTTCACGGCTGTGGGGCCAGCGAGGTGACCTGCCTGTGCTCTCCTAGGCTCTGCCACCCTGTCCATGGCATATGCTGGTGCCCGGTTCGTCTTCTCCCTTTTGGATGCAATGAACGGAAAGGAAGGAGTTGTTGAATGTTCCTTTGTTAAGTCACAAGAAACGGACTGTACCTATTTCTCCACGCCGCTGCTGCTGGGGGTGAGTATCCCCGAGCTCGGTGCCTCTGATGGTGGGAGGAGGAGAGTCACTGCTGCGTAGGATTCAGGAGCTCTTCCCTGTCCACTTGCTCCATGATTCAGATTTCCTTTGTGCAGGAACTGCACACCCATGCCTGGCGTGTGTTTGGGTTTTTGAAGGTAGAAGCACATCACAGAATTGAGAGCTGGGAGAAGTCGCAGGCTGTGAAGTACAAACCTCCCAGCACGTGAATGTCGTTCCCTGTGGATCTGACAGCAGCTGCCCGAGTGTGGTTACTGATCAGACGCTCCTTCTGTCTCAGGACAGCTCAGACAGCTCTAAAAGAAACAGCTCTCCTGCACCCACCTGACACCGTCACTGTAGCTTATATGTGTTCATTCTGTTTTATTTCAATAGATTGAGGAGATGCAGGTGTTTTTTTGTTATATGGATGACTTGTATAGTGGTGAAGTCAGGGCTGTTAGTGTACCTGTCACCTGAATAGCGTGCATTCTACTTGATAGGTAGTTTTTGATCCTTCACCCCCTCTCACCCTCCGTATATGTTCATTCTTGTTCTGACTTCACATACTACAAGGCCTAATCCCTCTTCCAGGCAGGCCTGCTTCCTTGCTTCACACCCCACTGGCTTTCCTTCCTGGGATGTGCATCTAGGACACAACCATGTGGTCACATTGCTGGCTTCAGTGGGCTCTTTTGGGGTCAGCTGTCTGGTCTGGTTGACACTTACTGAGACTTCAGCAAGCAGAACCCCTGGAGATGCTGTTAAGTGCTCCTGAGGGTTGAGTACCCCTCTGCCAGGTCATCCTCGTGCTCACTCACAGCCTCCTTGGAGGTAGACAGGACCGTTATTTTACAGATGAGGAAGCAGATTTAGAATGTAAGGAATCATGCAAGGCAGAGTCAGGTTCCCAGCCTAGGACTGTCTGACCCTGAAGCCGGAGCTCCCGATGACAGCTCAGACCCACCCATCCCTGGTCAGCCCGGCACACTCAGGCCACCCAGAGCCCACGGGTGTAGACGGTCTCGGCAGAGCTGACGAAGTTACAAATTGGATTTTCTGTAATAAATTCTTTTGTGAAAAGTTCATTTAAAATTTTTACCACCTCCCTCTCTCCTTCAGAAAAAAGGCATTGAGAAGAACCTGGGCATTGGCAAAATCTCCTCTTTCGAAGAGAAGATGATCGCCGAGGCCATTCCTGAGCTGAAAGCCTCAATCAAGAAAGGAGAAGACTTTGTGAAGAACATGAAGTGAGAAGCACTTGAGAGCAGCCAGTTTCCTTAATTTATTAAGGCATCATGTCACTGTAAAACCATGTCAGATACCTTTGTATTTTAATTCATTTTGATGATAATTATTAATGCATCATCCCTTCCAAATGGTGGGTGGGTCTGTTGGCGCGTCAATAAAAGCAGTCTTTGATTTCCTCTTTCAAGGCCCCATCTATAAATGGTGTGCTTTCTCCCCTATGAAAGCTGACTTCAGTGTCTGTCACCCCTTTTCATTACAAAGCAGAACTAGATATAATCTAACTATTAGACTGAAGCATTGTGGTTTCTTCAGTAGCTTCAAGAGAGTCTAAAATGTTTATTTCTGAAATAGGACAAAATATTCAGTTTCTCAGTACCTGCTGCTCCCAGCCCTTCTCTACACACCGTTGCATCACTCAGGTGTGTAAACTGGAAAAGGGTCAACTCTTGAGTCCTTGGGGTTGTTTGCCCTCATGGGGTCATAGTTCAGCAGTTAATGCTCGGCCATTTTCTGTCCCTAATTTTGTGTTGTGTTTTCTGGCTAAGCATGTAGCTGCCTTGGCTGACCTCTGACCCCCTCTGAATTTCACCTGTGACTGAGCCGTGATGTTCAGTGACAGAACTCACAGCCGGAGCTGTGAGGAAAGTGGGTAGGGGCTGTACACGGACACCCAAGACTCGGGCTGCTGTGTCAACACTGTGCTATCTGCCGTGGAAGGGGCAGGGTTTTCTTCAGTGGCTTACAGAAAGGGCTTTGTTGGATTGAGGGGTGGGGAATTAAGAAGAGATTTGGCTCCCTCTGGGGGCAGTCTGTTCCCCAGCAGTGGCCTCTGGAGTAGAAACTACTTGAGCAGCAGGTGGTGACCTTCCATTGTAGGGCGGAAGTGGGAAGGAGGTGGCGGTATGCCCAGTGCATAGATGCTGATTTACCCACAAGAGCTTTTTTTTGAACTAAAACTGAGATGAATTTTACCATAAAGGATGACATCATTGCTTTCTTATAAGAATAAACATGTTCACTGTATAAAACCTAAAAGTAGCTAAAAAATAAAGCAAGAAAGTAATCACTGCTAATACTATTTGTCTTCTTGAATACTTCACTAGTAGAGATAATGTAGCCTGCTCTTCTGGTTAACTGTTACTATGTAGCAATTTCCCCCTCCTTGATCTAGCTGCTTTCAAGAATTTTTATCTCAGGACTGCCAAAGCTCAGCTGGGTGGTTCTTCTCACCATGTGCTGTCATCTGGAGGCTTGGCTGGCCTGGAACGTCCAAGCTGATGGCTGGTGTTTGGGAGATGCCTGGATAGCTGGACTTCTCCCTGTGATATTGGGCCTTTCATTCCTCTACAGCAAGGTGGACGGGCTCCTTAATGGCTCAGAGTTCCCAGAAGTGTGAAAGCAGAAGCTGCCAGGCTTTAAGGCAGGCTCAGAACTGACACAGGATCCCTCATGCCACATCCTCTTGCTTAAAGCAAGTCACAGGGCAAGCCAGGTGCATTGTGTGTGGGAGCCAGCCACAGCCTGGCTACCAGGAGGCCTGGTTCTTTGGGGACCACCTTTGGAGAGGAGCTGTCACAACTGGGATCCCTTCACTGTATGTCTGTAGTCACCCTCGTCACTTTTTCACTAACTGGGTAATCATTAGGGTGAACATGTCTATAATTTATTCCACTATTGGATAATTAGGTGATTTAGATTTTCACGACTATAAAGAGCATGACCCTGAACGTCATTATACTTGGGGCTGTTTCCTCCCGGTGGGTCTGTGTGCAAAGCACTGTGTCAGCTCTGAGGTGCACTTGCTATTTCATGGGATTTTTGTAGTGACCCTAACAGGCAGGACACAAGAGCCAAGTTGTGTCTTGGTCAAGGTGCTCACTGCTCATCTCCATATATCCAGGTTACCACGCAAGAATCTCCCAAAGAGTTTGCGTGGATTCCAGCCCCACCCCTCCAAAGTTTAGATCTAGCAGTCCTAGGAGAAGGGCCTGGAACTGAAAATATTCCAGATTCTTCCAGATTATGCTGAAGGGATAGGGGTACTCTTCTGACACTGTGGGCGCTCACAGATAAGTCAGGGCTCACAGGTAAGTCAGGGACATGAGAATATGCAGGAAAAAAAAATGCAGATAAGGTACCATGCAACTTCAAAGGAGGTTGAGGTTACTTCTGGGCGTCTTGGCAGAGCCAGGATCAAGGAGGACTGCCCCCATGGAGATACTCAGAAGGGAAGAGGGGGAGGAGTGGCATTTGCACTGGCCATGCAGGCTGGGTAGGGTTTCAGCCAGCAGGAGCAGGTTGGCGTGAGGGGCTCAGTTCAAGATTTGGGGATCAGCCGACTGACTTGCAGCCTGGGGCCCACGTGAGGGGAGCAGGACAGTGTGGGGAGAGTCTTGACTGCCAGGCTGAAGCACTTGGGCCTCATCTGTAAGTAGCAGGGACAGGGTGTCAAAGGTGCTGGGCAGGATGGTGACATGGTGGCCCCAGCTGCTCAAACTGCACCAACAGAGGTCTTGTTGACACAGATTATGACCCAGGAGCGGCCCAGATGCCGTGTTTGGAGCCAGCTCCCAGGCTGTGCCTGTGCTGCCAGCACCCACACCACAATTGAAGGAGGAAAGATGTGGTGGCAGGGACCACTCGGGATGCTGAGGGCCAGAGAGGGTGGCAGTGTGGGCAGGGGTGTGGCAGGGACAGAGAGGGAGCACATCAGCGTCTTCAGCCCCCTTTCTGTCACCCTGAAGGCCACCAGCAGGTTGTCACCAGCCGGCTGTTGGAATGAGTCAAGCCAACCTCACCCCCACTTCCGAGAGCTCCGGTTGTGCACCCTGCAGTGTGCTATTCGCCCGCCAGTGTGCGCAGGGACTGCCAGCCCCACTGCCAGCCCCACTCCTGTGCCTGTCCCTCTCTGCGAGGAACAAAAGGCCAGGGATTGCATCTATGGTGTTAATGACCAGAACGAGGTGGCTGAGGCCTTTGCCTGGGGAAGCTGAGAACCAGCCTTTGAAGAGCAGAGCGTGGGAGCAGCGGGGTGCCCGCAGGGAGGGTAATTAGGGAAAGAGTCCTGTAAAGACGCTGCTGTTAAGCCCTGGGTCAACACAGCCACGCTGAGTAATTACAAGGAAAGTGGAGTCTCCATCCTCTCTGCGAAGGTGCAGGGGATGAGCTGCTTAACCTAGAATGACCCTGACCTTCCCTGGCGGGGCCTGGGCTCGTGGCAGGCCAAGCCTCCCTGCACTTTCATCCATCGCCGGGAGAGGGAGCTGGAGGCTGAGGCTGCTCAGCGGCTCCTCTGCCCGCTAGGTCACGGTCAGGGGGTGAGGATTAGCATTCCGGAGCCAAATCCGGCTCCCTGCTCTGTCTGACCTCCACCCATCCAGGCGGGAGGGAGGGGGCAGCTGCCTTCAGACAGGGATGAGGAAGGTGGGAGTGGATCCAGTTGTGGACACCGGCTCCCAGGTTGGGAAGCAGGGTCTTCAGACAGCATCTGCGCAGGAAGTTGCCCCCCAACTTGCCCCCCAAGTTGTCTTGAGAGAACCCCCCAACCCTGTCAGCTGTGCCCGAGAGAAGCAGGGCAGAGCCCCACAAGAGGAGCTGGCCGAGCAGCTTCCGTTAACCAGGTGACCTTGGGGTCCTCCTGTCCCAGCACCCTGCCCCCACAGCAAGGACAGGCCATTCCTGCCCACTACCCGAGGGGTGGGGATTAATTGCTTCACGCCCAGGGTGGGAGGAACTGCTGGTGACCAGGAGGGAGGGCCCAGGGCCTGCCCTGATGCCACTGTGGGCAACTGCAGCACTCTGCCCAGGTGCTGGCAGCCCTGGTCTGGCCTCTGGCCCCCTGCAACAGGGGCTGAGCCTGGGGTCTCCCGGTGCTGGCCTCTCTGGGTTCCAGGTCCTAATCCCCTAGGGCTGGACACGGATCTCTTCAACTCACTTGAAGTGGCCACCCACACCCTGCCCCCTGCCACGTGTCCTGGCCTGGTGGACTCACTGCCTAGTGCAAACTCCCTACAGCGGCCAGAGCTGACGGACCAGAAATGAGGTCTTTTTTTCCTCCTCTTCATTTTCCTCTGGTTGCTTAAGTTTCCTCCCAAAGTTTAATGGGGTCATCTGGGGGCAGGTAGAACCCGATCCTGACAGGTAAGACCAGGTGGGCCGATTTGGGGCTGGTTTGCACCAGGACAGCCAATCTGGCTGTGAGATAGAGAAATGTCAGAACCGACTAGCTGCTGTCCCAGTCTGTGGCCCCTACCCTGAGGCCCCCTGGATGGACACCCCCCATGGAAAGGGGAAACACCTGGCAGCACAGGGTATCCCAAATGGATTGGTCAGTGCCTAAGTGCTTCTGGTGGTTAAATATTGTAATACCCCAGTGGACCGGCACCCCCTCTGCAGAGGACCTAAAGACTGGGGGCCTGAGAACAAGCTACCTGCCCCCACCTCTGCCCCCAAAGCCACAGCTACTAAATGAAGTACTGATCTGGCACGAAAGCTTCTCCCCAGCCTGGTAGAGGAAAATAAGTGTGTGTTACATTTTTCCATATATTGGTGGGGGAGCCTCCCAAAACCTATTTGCAGTTGAATGTAAATTCATAGAAAAAGGTCTTGAAGGACAGACTTCTAGAATGGGAAAGGAAATTGCCTTTGGAATGTGTGCTGTGCTTAGGATGCTCTCAATTTTTTACTCTGCATATTTTGTGTGATGTGTTGGATTATGTCCCTAAAAATTCATATGCTGAAGCCCTAGCCCCCAGTTCCTCAGAATGTGTGGCTTTATTTAGAAACAGGGTCTTTGCAGATGGAACTCGTTAGGATGGGGTCTCCTGGAGTGGGCTGGGCCCGTATCCAAGGTGACTGGCGTCCTTATAAGAAGAGACAGAGACAGACACACACAGGGAGAAGGTGGCCATGTGACAACAGAGGCAGGGATGGGACTGACGTTTCTATGTGCCAAGGAGCACCAATGATTGCCGAGACCACCAGCAGCCAGGACAGAGGCCTGGGACAGATTCCCCCTCCGCCCGTCAGAGGGAACCAACCCTGCTAACACCTTGATTTTGGATTTGTAGTACCTTTAAAAAAGCATGTCACTGAGCTAACCCCACACTCCAACACTGCTCCCCTGACTTGTGTCTTGTCATTTAATGCAGCAACCAGCCATGACTGCCCCATTTTAGGGGCAAGGGTGACTCACCCAAGCCGTAAAGAGCTGTGCACGCAACGGGGAGTTTTTGTGATGTCTCTGGTACCTTATCCTGATGTCACTTTCGGCTGAAAACAAGGCCAGCTTTTCCTGGTAGCAACGGGAAACCTCTGCTCCCTAAACCGTCCTCCAGATGTGGAAGCAGCGTCTCCCACCCAGCTGTGAGCGCTGCTTCCTCCTTTCATGTTTGCTGAGTACTCACTATGTCCCGGGTCCCCTGCAGGGGGGCAAAATAATGCGCCCCCCTGCCTCGAGGTGTCCATGTCCTCATCCCTAGAACCTGTGAATAGGTGCCCTTATGTAGTACAAGGGACTTTGTGGATGTGGTTCAGTTAAGGATCCTGAGATGGGAGGGTCTCCTTCATATCCCAGCGGGCCCAGTGGGTCATCACAAGAGCCCTCATCAGAGGGGGCAGGAGGGTCAGGGTGAGCAAGGGAGTGCAGGTGGCCTGCAGGAGCCAGAAAAGGCCCCTCTCTCCTCTAGAGGGAGAGAGAGGGAACGCGGCCCCTGCCACCTTGATTTTATTATAGAATCTCTGACCTCCGGAACTGTTAAATAATACATTTATTATTTTAAGCCACTTAATTTGTAGTAATTTGTTACAGCGGCCACAGGAAACTAGTACACACCACACACACACACACCCAGTTATTTCCTTTAATCCTAGTCACAACCCTCTAGAGTGGGTGCAATCAGCATTTCCATCCTGTAGCCAAGGGAGTTGATGCTCAGAGAGGTTTAGTAACTTGTCTGACATCACACAGCAGGGAAGAGGAGTGGGATTTGAACCCAGGCAGCCCGGCTCCAGAGCCTTCCCGCTTTGGCCAGGCGCTGCATGGCTTTGGGGAGCTCACGGCTGCCTTTGGGCA